GCACGTGGGGAGCCCAGCAATCTGAATCAGCCGGTATGTCGTCTTTGCAAAAAAGTTGTCGCAACAAAGACTGGAAACACCACAAACCTCAAAGCGCATCTGAAGCATAACCACCCAAGTGTGTTTGCACAGCTGGGAGAAAAGGCTGCTATTGAACAGGCAGGACCATCTCGTGGTAGACAGCCTTTCGTAGAAGATTGTTTTGCCCAGGTGACAAAGTATAAACGTGAGAGCGTAAAATGGCGCACCCTCACAAACAGCGTAACACACTACATCGCTAAAGAGATGTTGCCATTTAACACTGTGGATAAACCCGCGTTTAGAGACATGCTGCGGGACTTTGATAAACAATACGAGTTACCAAAAAGACGTACATGTCTGAAACTGCCATTCCTGCGTTGTACAACAAAGTCAAAAGTGGTGTTCTGAATGACATAAAACATGTACAATTCTTCTCCGCAACGACAGATATGTGGTCCAGCTCTAACATGACCCCATATATGAGCCTCACAGTGCATTACATTACGGAGGATTGGTCTTTGCACTCGAAATGTTTAGAAACAAGATATGTGCCTGAGAACCACACTGCCGCTGTCCTGGCTGAAAACATTAAATGCACTGGATGAATGGGGACTGCAGGAAAGAAGACTCTCGTGCATTACTACTGACAATGGTGCTAATATTGTGGCAGCAATACGCAATCTTGGCTGGCCGTGGCTCAATTGTTTTGGCCACAATCTGCATTTGGCTATCACAAATGCCTTAAACGCAGAAAAAGAACGCACGTCGCGTGCGTGTGGACTCTGTAGGAATCTTGTGACCATCTTCAACGTGAGCTGGATAAAGAGGAGGGATCTCATGAAGGCACAGTCTGAAGCTGGCCTCCCTCAGCACACACTTGTACTGGTGAGTTAGTTTTATAAATGGCAATTTTTTTTAACATTTGATAAACATTGTTTTAATTGAAATACTTTAAAACTAAATGATTAACTTTGTCTAATTTACAGTCTGATATAAAGTATAAATCCCTCCATTATATAAAATAGAACTTCTTAGATAAATAGATCAAATTCATTACTACATATAATGTGATGTACAACATGCTTTCTGTCTTACAGGATGTGGCCACCAGATGGGGCAGTAAACAAAAGATGATAGACAGAGTACTGGAGCAGCTGCCAGCTATCAGAAGAATCCTAGTGGAGGAAAGAAAACATGGCCACCTCAACCCAACATGGCAAGATGTGTCTGTGCTGGAGTCAATAAATGCAGCCTTGAAGCCTGTTGCTGACTTCACTGACATACTTTCTGGTGAGAAGTATGTCACAGTGTCCTCAATAAAGCCAGTGCTGGAGCTCATCAAAGGTGAACTGTTTAGCACCAAGTCCAGAAGACACTGACCTCACAACAAAGATCAAGACCAACACGAGCAGGGTGTTGGTAGATAAATACTGCTCTCCTAATATACAAAGTCTTCTAAGGAAAGCAACCATTGTGGATCCAAGACACAGAGGCAGTTTGGAGGATTTAGAAGTATTGCAGGACACCAAGGAAGAGCTTGTTGAGGAGCTGCTTAAGATGGAGGATGGAGATGCACAAGAAGCGGGTACAAGCAGTGCAGCTGCAGAGATGGAGACAGCAGAAGTGGCGGAACAGAGGCCTTCAGGTGCTAAAAGAAAAACATTGAGTGATCTCCTACAAAGCAGGAGAGTTCAACGTGTGACACAAACACATGAGGCTGTACCAGTGAGAGAACAAGCAAACCAGGAACTAACAAAGTATCTGCAGGAAGAAGCACTAGATGCATCATCTGATCCCTTGGTTTGGTGGCGTGATAACCAAAAAAGGTTTCCCTTAATCTCCAAGCTTGCAAAAAAATACATGTGCATTTGTGCCACAAGCACGAGTTCAGAACGAATGTTCAGCACAGCAGGGAACATAGAGACCCCTGAGAGGTCCTTAAACCACACAAGGTTAACATGTTGGTTTAAGGACCTCTCAGCAGGGAACATAGAGACCCCTGAGAGGTCCTTAAACCACACAAGGTTAACATGTTGGTTTAAGGACCTCTCAGCAGGGAACAAAGAGACCCCTGAGAGGTCCTTAAACCACACAAGGTTAACATGTTGGTTTAAGGACCTCTCAGCAGGGAACATAGAGACCCCTGAGAGGTCCTTAAACCACACAAGGTTAACATGTTGGTTTAAGGACCTCTCAGCAGGGAACAAAGAGACCCCTGAGAGGTCCTTAAACCACACAAGGTTAACATGTTGGTTTAAGGACCTCTCAGCAGGGAACATAGCGACCCCTGAGAGGTCCTTAAACCACACAAGGTTAACATGTTGGTTTAAGGACCTCTCAGCAGGGAACAAAGAGACCCCTGAGAGGTCCTTAAACCACACAAGGTTAACATGTTGGTTTAAGGACCTCTCAGCAGGGAACAAAGAGACCCCTGAGAGGTCCTTAAACCACACAAGGTTAACATGTTGGTTTAAGGACCTCTCAGCAGGGAACAAAGAGACCCCTGAGAGGTCCTTAAACCACACACAGTTACCTACCTCCAATATTGTTCTTTTCTGGTTATTTATACAATTGTTTTACTGTATTTTTTAATTCTGTGCAATAAAACGCCGTGTAAAGGGACATTTAATCGTTTATCGAGATAATTTAGAAGAAATTTATGGCCAGTCAAAAAAAATATCGTGACAGGCCTACACACGCTCGTGTTTAACGCAACTATTATGGGAGAATATACACTGCACAGAACGGGGAGGAATCCAGACGATGCCCAAATACAGGCGACTTGCCCATAGAATTTGAGGTTCCAGGAGACTTCGCTATTTCTTTCAGCCCCCATGCCGTCACAAAGCGCCCACTGAGCAAAACATTTATTTGGAATTGGGCGCCATCTTGGCTCGCGCGGGTTGCTATGTCCCCTCTACCTGAGAGGCGTCTCTACGCACACACACACAGCACACACACACACACACACACACACAAACACACAGGCATATGTCTAGAGTTTTCTTTTCTCTCTCCCCTTTTTCAATTGTCTTTCAATTAAGTTTTGATTCATCCATCGCGACTCTCAATGCTTCAATATGCTGTGCTTTGCACTGATCATAGCAACAGCTCATTCAAATCACACCACGCTTCTTCATTACTAATACGCATAGCGGCTGCCTGTTGCCTAAGCCCGCGCGGACGTGGCGAGTTGGCGTCCGATAAAAGGGTTTGACGCGCTAATAAGTATTGAAAACAAACGAAGAGGCTGGAGCATAATAATCGCTGCGGGTCACAGGCCCAAAACACACATGCTCGCACACACAACGCGCCTCCCACCACACACTCAACTGGCGCTCTCACGCACACGCTCACATGTACGAGAAAACACGATGACTCCTCCATCAGCACACCAAACATTCATTATTCACTCAATGCCCAACGTGTCTCACTACAAAAAACAAAGCAGGCTGATTAAACGCACAGCAAGAGCTGCCTGCTGCTGCAGCCGGTTTGACCACTAGTCTTTTTTATGGACACGTCCGACGGACCGCAGCCAAACGCGCGTCAACGGAGACGCGCCCGGTGGAGTACAGGCCTCAGTTTAGTCCTCCGCGGACCGCGGCTCTGGCCGTCCTTGTCTACCTCCAATCAGGCGCGCAGTGTGTGCGTGCGTGTGGGTTTGGGCCTGTGACCGCTGCGATTATTATTGATCCAGCCTCTTCGTTTGTTTTCTATACTTATTTAGCGCGTCATACACTTTTATCGGACCAACTGCCTCTCCGCGGCTTTAGGCAACAGGCTGCGATATAGTTTTAAATAGAAGAAGCGGGTGTGTGTTGTGGAATGAGCTGTGGCTATGTTCTATTGCAAAGCACGCATATTGAAGCATTTGAGGGACGTCGCGATGGATGAAGCAAAACTTATTGAAAGACAATTGGAAAAAGGGGAGGAGAAAGAACTCTAACATATCCTGTTGGCTGTGTGTGTGTGTGTGTGTGGTGTGTGTGTGTGTGTGTGTGTGCGGAGAGATGCGCCCGCAGTAGAGGGGACAAGGTCAAGCCCCGGCGATCCAAGTTGGCGCCCTTTTTCAAATGAATGGTTGTGCCTCAGTGGCGCTTTGTGACGGCATGGGGCTGAAAGATTAGCGGAAGTCGCCTGGAACCTCTCAAAGATCTATGGGAAAGTCGCTGTATTTTGGGCATCGTCTGGTCCTCCCGGTTCTGTGCAGTTGTATGTATCTCCCATAATGCGTTGCGGTAAACACTGCGTGTGTAGGCCTGTCACGATTTTTTTTTTTGACTCGGCCATAAATGTCTTTCTTAAATTATTCCGAGAAACGATAACTGTCTTTACACGGGTTTTTATTGCAAGAATTAAAATCTGTAAAAACAATTGTATAAATAACCTGAAAAAGAACAATATTGGAGGTAGCACAACAGGAAACATTATCTTTAATGTGCTTAAAAAATATATAAACGAATAGCATTGAGGTATCAAAACAAGAAACATTTAATGTGCTTTTTTTTTATCAAATTAACAAACTGTATTTGAGGTAGCACAACATGAAAATTTAAAGTGTCTTAAAGAATCAAATGTTTAAACCAGCCACCAGACATGGTGCCCTTCTAAGGAATTATTGAAATTCAAATCAATATTTCACTTGACAAATGATAACGTAAATTGCCTTGTTCAGTAATAAAATAGTTTTAGCAATGCGAGCGAGGAAAACAAACATGTTAACCTTGTGTTGTTTAAGGCAAGACCTCTCAGGGTCTCTATGTTCCACTGCTGAGAGGTACTTAATAACAACATGTTAATACCTGTGTGGTTTAAGGACCTCTCTGGGGTCTCTATGTGCCATGCTGAGAGGTCCTTAAAACCAACATGTTACTTGTGTGGTTTAAGGACTCTCAGGGGTCTCTTTGTTCCGCTGAGAGGTCCTTAAACAAAACATGTTATAACCTTGTGTGGTTTTAAGGACTTCAGGGGTCTCTATGTTCCCTGCTGAGAGGTCATTAAACCAACATGTTACCTTGTGTGGTATAAGGACCCTCTTCAGGGGTCTCTATGTTCCACATGCTGAGAGGTCCTTAAACCAACCATGTTAACCTTGTGTGGGTTTAAGGGACTCTCAGGGGTCTCTATGTTCCCTGCTGAGAGGTCCTTAAACCAACATGTTTACCTTGTGTGGTTTAAGACTCTCAGGGTGAATTGTCTTATGTCCCTGCTGAGAGGTCCTTAAAACCTTACATGTTAACTTGTGTGGTTTTAAGGACCTCTCAGGGGGAGTCTCTTTGTTTCCTGCTGTGCTGAACAATCGTCTGAACTCGTGCTTGTGGCCCAAATGCACATGTATTTTTTGGAGATTAGGGAAACCTTTTTTGGTTATCACGGCCACCAAACCAAGGGGATCAGAATGATGCATCTAGTTGCTTCTTCCTTGCAGATTACTTTGTTAGTTCCTGGTTTGCTTGTTCTCACTGTACAGCCTCTATGTGTTTGTGTCACACGTTGAACTCTCTCGCTTTGTAGTGAGATTCACTCAATGTTTTTTCTTTTGCACCTTGTAAGGCCTCCTGTTCCGCCTCTTTGCTGTCTCAATCTCTGCAGATGCACTGCTTGTACCCGCTTCTTGTGCATTCTCCATTCTCCATCTTAAGCAGTCCTTCAACAAGCTCTTCCTTGGTGTCCTGACAATACCTCTAATCCTCCAAACTGCCTCTGTGTCTTGGATCACATTGGATTGCTTTCCTTAGAAAGACTTTGTATAGTAGTGAGAGCAGTATTTATCTTACAAACACCGTGTTCGTGTTGGTCTTGATCTTTGTTGTGAGGTCAGTGTCTTCTGGACTTGTGCTAACATTCACCTTTGATGAGATCCAGCACTGGCTTTTTTGAGGACTCTTGTGACATAATTTCACAGAAAGTATGTCAGTGAAAGTCTGCATCAGGCTTCAAGGCTGCATTTATTGACTCCAGCACAGACACATCTTGCCATTGTTGGGTTGAGGTGGCCATGTTTTCTATCCTCCACTAGGTTTCTTCTGATAAGCTGGCAGATGCTCAAGTACTCTGTCTTTCATAGTTTGTTTACTGCCCCATCTGTGTGGCACATCCTGTAAGACAGAAAGCATGTTTACATAACTTTTTATGCTAGTAAAGATTTGATATATTTTTCCTAAGAAGTTCTATGTTAGATTTAATTGGAGGGATTTATCCTTTATTTCAGACTGTAAATTAGACAAATGTTAATCATTTAAGTTTTAAGTATTTCAATTAAAACAAATGTGTATCAATTGTTAAAAAAATTGCCATTTATAAAACTAACTCACCAGTAATAGTGTGTGCTGGGGAGGCAGCTTCAGTCTGTGCCTTCATGAGACGGCACGGTGCTGAGTGGATAGCACTCTCGCCTCTCAGCAAGAAGGGTCCAGGGTTCGAATCCAGGTCGGACCAGGGCCCTTTCTGAGTGGAGTTTGCATGTTCTCCCGTGTATGGTAGGGTTTCCTCCGGGTACTCCGGTTTCCATACACTAAATAATATGTCCATTTGTATCTGGCATGTGCATTCCTGTACTGGGCCCCTCCAATCTCTGTGTGGAGTGACGAGACAAATGCCAAAAAAAATTATCATTGTAAACGCTTTGAGACTCAGATTGCGTGAAAAGGCGGTATATAAATAAAGATTACTAAATGAGATCCTCCTCTTTATCCAGTCAGTTGAAGAATTTTTTTTATTTTTTTTTTTTTTTTTTACACCTAAATATTTTATTATTTATATTTTTTTTTTTTTTTTTTTTTTTGTCACAAGATTCCTACAGAGTCACACGCACGCGACGTGGTTCTTTTTCTGCGTTTAAAGGCATTTGTGATAGCCAAATGCAGTTTGTGGCCAAACATGAGCAACGGCCAGCCAAGATTGGTATTGCTGCCACAATATTAGAACTTGTCAGTAGTAATGAACGCAGAGTCTTCTTTCCTGCAGTACCCATTATCAGTGCATTTAATGTTTTCAGCCAGGTCCAGCAGCAGTGTGGTTTCGAAGGCACATATCTTGTTTCTAAACATTTGTGTGGCAAAAGAACATTCTCGTAAGGTAATGACAACTGTGAGGCTACATATATGGGGTCAATGTTAGAGTGGACCACATATCTGTCGTTGCGGAGAAGAATTGTACATGTTTTATTGTCATTTCAGAACACCACTTTTGACTTTGTTGTACAACGCAGATTGGACAGTTTCAGTATGTACGTCTTTTTTGGTAACTCGTATTGTCTTATCATGTCACGCAGCATGTCTCTAAACGGGGTTTATCCACAGTGTTAAATGGCAACATCTCTTTAGCGTTGTGTGTTTTCGCTGTTTGTGAGGGTGCGCCATTTACTGCTCTAGTTTATACTGTGTAACCTGGGCAAAACATTTCTACGAAAGGCTGTCTACCACGAGATGGTCTGCCTGTTCAATAGCTGCTTTTCTCCAGCTGTGCATAATCACTTTGGGTGGTTATGCTTCTGATGCGCATTGAGGGTTTGTGGTGTTTCCAGTCTTTGTTGACGACAACTTTTTTGCAATGTCGGACATACCGGCTGTTGCAGATTGCTGGGCTCCCACTTTCGTCGGATTGTAGCCGAAAATGGTCCCATATGCGGCTGTTGAATGGGCTTCTTGATCATGCTTGTTCCGCCGCCATTTGATTTGTACTGTCGTTTCCAAAGCAAGCTTTAGCACGCTCTCGTGTTTACGTCCAATTACGGGCTTATGTCCAGCTAGCTTACCTCGCGCTTTCGGCCTTGGGCGATGACGTTAAGCGTATAGCTGGCGCACGCAATGGCGCATGCGACAATTTATCGAGTCTCTAACGTTATTTGTGCTTGTTTATATTTATCGAACGATTAATCGAATTAGTAATTATCGTGACAGGCCTACGTTGGACGGATGCTTGCGGAGGCAGTGGAGCCATCTTCCATTCCCCTCAAGGAGATACGGACGACATGGATCCGGCCAAACATGTTCGTTTCATCTCCGTCTCCGTTATTTCCTTCGCAGGCGTGAATGGATAGTGGCGCCACTGCCTCCAACTCCGGACTTCCTTCATCGGAGGAGTGGCAAACGGACGCGGACGGACGAAATATGGGGGAAACAAGCCTATTTGTTCCGTCGACGCGTGTTGGGCCGTTTTCCATTGGAAATACATTGAATACTTATAGATATTAATATTTTTACAACATTATTAAACATGTATTGATACTATGCTGTAGTACTGGTTTATATAGTGCTTTGTTAATGACAATGATTATTAACCTAAAGTGTATTTTTTTTCATGTATTAATTTAATAATTGTTCCTGCATTCGTACATATACATTTATCTTTCGCGTAATGTTTATCTTTACATACTCCTTCGCTCTTTTTTCTCTTGTCTGTCCCCTTGGACAACTTGCTCTGTCCCCATGGACACTTGCTCTGTCCCTTGGACACTTGCTGTGTCCCCTTGGGACATTGCTCTGTCCCATTGGACAATTGCTGTGACCCTTGGGACACTGGCTCTGTCCCCTTGGACACTTGCTCTGTCACCTTGGACAACTGCTCTGTCCCCTTGGACACTTGCCTGTGTCTCACTGGGACACTTTTTTGGGCTTGGGTGTCCCTTGGACATTGCTCTGTTCCACCTTGGACACTTGCTGGTCCCTTGACTCCTCTCCTCACCGCTTGCGCTCCCATCCACACACACAACACACATTACCACACAGAGCTAATGCACTTTCTGAGAGACAGATCTCACACTGGATATGTTGGAGTTCTTTTCTCTCTCCCATTTTTCCAATGCTTCAATAAGTCTGACCACTAGTCCGTTTACGGGATAGCCGACGGGACAGCAGCACAACGCGCGTCACGGGAGACGCGCCCGTGGAGTCAGACCTCACCGTGGCCATACCTCAAAAGCAGTCACTTTAGTGGAGACGAGCGAACAGAAATGTTTTCAGTTCCTACTCTGTAATCCCAGAGCAAGTACATCTGACTGATAATAGCTGTAGGATGTTTACATTGTTTTCAATAAACTGTCAGACATAGTTTCTAGCACAGTTCTTTGTAAACTTATGTGTTTTCTTCTCTGTTTAGAGGGTTATTCTTGCTTAATAGAGCCATTAATTGGCTCGGTTTCACAGTTGTTTCGTGTTTATTGGGCTATTGTTTAACAAACAGTTATAAAACATTTCTATGAAGTACAATGTTAATTTGGGTAATGGCTTATTGCGGTAATTTCTCAATATTTTTATTTACAATTGCAAAGGGCCTTCTGTCTTTTGGTTGTTGGTGTTTTGGGCTAGTCTATAAATATCTAAATTTTAACACTTTTCTGATGGACAGTTTAGTATTTATCTCTAAAAATTGCATTGGAGCTGCACTCTGCGCCCGGTGCACGCACACGCACACCCGCTGAAGAGCTTCGCAGTCCCCGCCATCCCCCCGGGAGCCCACCCCTCCTACGAGAACCCCGCCCTGCCCTGCACGCCCCTGCTCACACAGAGCGGTACGAGACCGAGACAGAGACCGAGACTTAGACTCACTGGGGTCTCATGAAGAAGGAGACTAGGGGAAGATAGACACATGTAAAGTTATGGTCCTGAGTTAGCCCACAATAGATCCAGGACTGAGACTGTAGACCCAGGACTGAGACTGTATAGACCCAGGACTGAGACTGTATAGACCCAGGACTGAGACTGTATAGACCCAGGACTGAGACTGTATAGACCCAGGACTGAGACTGTATAGACCCAGGACTGAGACTGTAGACCCAGGACTGAGGCTGTAGACCCAGGACTGAGGCTGTAGACCCAGGACTGAGGCTGTAGACCCAGGACTGAGACTGTAGACCCAGGACTGAGGCTCTAGACCCAGGACTGAGGCTGTAGACCCAGGACACACACTTAAAAACTTGCCTTAAAATGACTTTAATGAAAGTGCACCTTTTCGTTTACACTTCTCCTGACGGCCTCCCCCTGCCCCCCCAGGCGCTCCCAGCCACCCCCACGTGGTGAAGACGGCCTCCATCGGGACCCTGGGCCGGACGCGGACCCCGATGATCGTGACGGTGCCCAACGCCCCGGACGTCCCGGAGACCAGCCGGATGTTGGAGGACGTGGACAGTGTGAGTCTCGGACACGTCTTCCTGAACATCGACGTGCTCCTCTGACCTCACGCTCACAGGAACCGTCCGGACGCCGCCGTTAACTCTGTCTCTCTGTTTCTCCTCTTTTCCGTCTGCTTCTGTCGCTTCTGTCGGCGCATGTTTGTCTTTTAATCAATAACTTTTCAAAAACACCTGGAATGATTTTGTTGCTTTTTTGTTTCGTTCATTTGGAATGCTTTTCTGGATGTTTTTCCGGCTGCTTTTTTCTTTTGGCTTCAGTTTCTTTGACCCATTCTCATTTCAGTCATACAGTAAGGGGCTGTTCCTGCTGCAAAGACGTGGACTTTCAATGGGAAATGTTTTATTTCTAGGGTGACAAGGGCAGTACTAGCAAACGAGCTAAATGTATGAGCTAGAATGAGGTTATTAAACACATAAGTCGGGACTAAGTCGGGACTAAGTCGGGGCTAAGTCGGGACTAAGTCGGGACTAAGTCAGGGCTAAGTCGGGGCTAAGTCGGGGCTAAGTCGGGGCTAAGTCGGGGCTAAGTCGGGGCTAAGTCGGGACTAAGTCGGGACTAAGTCGGGCTAAGTCGGGGCTAAGTCGGGGCTAAGTCGGGACTAAATCGGGGCTAAGTCGGGGCTAAGTCGGGGCTAAGTCGGGGCTAAGTCGGGGCTAAGTCGGGGCTGAGTCGGGGCTGAGTCGGGGCTAAGTCGGGGCCACTGTCTGACCATGTGATCATAATTCTGGACCATGTATGAAATAGGTCTTAAACCTGGCCTGGTCTGGTCTCCAAAGCTCAACAGGTCTTTAGTTCGGAAGCTGTAAAGTGCAAGGGAAATGTCAGTGTTGTATTACCAGTTAAAGAACAGAAGAATGAGGTTAATATAAAGTATAGAACAACTCTATACTTCTCTATATTTTTTGGTTAATAAAAAAGCAAGACCCGGTCCAGAACCAGATGTTTTTTATTGCATCGTAGGTCACAGGAGGTCACAGGAGGTCACAGGAAGTCACAGGAGGTCACAGGAGGTCACAGGAGGTCACAGGAGGTCACAGGAGGTCACAGGAGGTCACAGGAAGTCACAAACTAGGAATCTCTTTGGCTCCAGGTGCAGAGAAGTCGTTAGAGTAAAAAGGTAAAGGCAGCATAAAGAGGCGTCGATAAACCAGATTATTAACGCCATAATCCAGCCTCAGGTCTACCCCAGACTTACCCCAGGTCCAGGTATCACAGGTACAGGACATCAGCTGCAGTCTTTGCCTCAGCATCAGCCCCTCCCCCTGCCCTCCTAACCTGACTGACCTGGGCTTGCCCCTCTCCCCCTCTCCCCCCTCTTCCCCCCTGGCTCTCCTGCAGGTCCTGGCCTCCCTGACGCCCTCCTCCGCCTCGCGCAGTAACGCCCCCCCTCCTGTGCCTCTCCCGCAGAGCTACGAACCCGACGAGCTGACGGAGGAGATGGCCCACCTGGAGGGCCTCATGAAAGACCTGAACGCAATCACCACCGCGCCCTAGGGACCCCGCCCCACCCCACCCCACCCCAACTCAGCACCCTAAGGACCCTACCCCACCCCAACTCAGCACCCTGAGGACCTCACCCCGCCCTCGCCACAGCACCCTAGGGACACAACTGACTGTTCCGGCTGTTTTACACTTTCACCAGATTAGAAACACAAGATCTGCTACTAGCTTCTCAACCTGCCCTGGTCCTGTCTCCCCTGGTCCTGTCTCCCCTGGTCCTGCCTCCCCTGGTCCTGTCTCCCCTGGTCCTTGCTCCCCTAGCTCCACTGGTCCTGGTCTCTCCCCTGGTCTCTCCCCTGGTCTCTCCCCTGGTCTCTCACCTGGTCTCTCACCTGGTCTCTCCCCTGGTCTCTCCCCTGGTCTCTCCCCTGGTCTTGCCCCTGGTCTCTCACCTGGTGTCTCCCCTGGTCTCTCACCTGGTCTATACCATTCAATCCAAACGGGGGGGAAACAAAAAGATGCAACTGTGATTTCCGTGGACACAAAATGGCGTCTTGTGCCCGAGAAGCATTCACGTCCCCCAGCAACAAACTGCTTTCTTCTTCTACAAGTACCTTTTCTCAGGACGGACGCAGCCAATCAGAGGAAGGGCAGTCACGGCCAGACACCGGAGCACGCCGTCCATGTGGATGGAACTCTTTGGGACCAGATTGTGAACTTTGTTGTTTTTAGGACGGACACAGAATGACTCCTCTGCTCTGAGCGTGTTCATGGTTCTGTTCATGGTTCTGTTCACCTGTATGTATTCTGTATTCTTTTATTTTTTACACCTGTATCCGTATCTACATGTACATATGTTATTTTTATTCTGTCGTTTGATGGTTCAGAAGTTTACTCAAATTGTAACACAAAAATGCTGGTGCGAGGCCACGCGGAAAAGTCACTGATGTCATATGTTCATAACCCTTTAGCATTAGGCAAGGTTATTGGTATAGCACAGTCCACACACGGCAACTCACAAGACAAGGCTTTAAATCAGAAAGTCAGGATTAAATCTGTTTTTAACCTGGATTTGAATATTGCCCGTCTCACGTTTTCTGGAAGACTGTTTTTAGCTGCATAAATCTGAAACACTGCCTCCCCATGTTTAGTCCTGACTCTGGGACCAGCAGGAGACCAGTCCCTGTGCTCCTCAGAGTCCCAGCAGGAGGCCAGTCCCTGTGCTCCTCAGAGTCCCAGCAGGAGGCCAGTCCCTGTGCTCCTCAGAGTCCCAGCAGGAGGCCAGTCCCTGTGCTCCTCAGAGTCCCAGCAGGAGGCCAGTCCCTGTGCTCCTCAGAGTCCCAGCAGGAGGCCAGTCCCTGTGCTCCTCAGAGTCCCAGCAGGAGGCCAGTCCCTGTGCTCCTCAGAGTCCCAGCAGGAGGCCAGTCCCTGTGCTCCTCAGTCTTAGCAGGAGGCCAGTCCCTGTGCTCCTCAGAGTCCCAGCAGGAGGCCAGTCCCTGTGCTCCTCAGTCTTAGCAGGAGGCCAGTCCCTGTGCTCCTCAGAGTCACAGCAGGAGGCCAGTCCCTGTGCTCCTCAGAGTTCCACTTGGTTCTTATAGCACTAACATTTGGTGCGAGACTTAAAGCTGTGGTCTCTATTTTCAAAGCTCATGTAAAAATCTAATTCTTATTTCTGTCTGAGCCCAAAGGGTCAAATAGTGACTCACAGGGACTGTTGGATCACGTCAGCACAATGACCTGGGGAGATGACGTCGGATTTATCCACAATAAACACATTTCTCACACTTTTTCTATCGCGACAAACAACATTTCAGTCTCGAAACAAAACTTTAGGTTCAGCAGCTTTAAGTTTCTAATAAATAATGTTTAACTGTTTTTCATCACAACAATTCTATTCTATGTTTTTAGCCTCGTCAAAGGACTTTACCAAGTTGTCGATTCGTCGACACGGATCAGAAAATCAAACAGACACAGTGGTCTCTCTCTGGTCTCTCTCTGGTCTCTCTCTGGTCTCTCTCTGGTCTCACGTTGGTCTCTCTCTGGTCTCTCTCTGGTCTCACTTTGGTCTCTCTCTGGTCTCTCTCTGGTCTCTCTCTGGTCTCTCTCTGGTCTCTCTCTGGTCTCTCTCTGGTCTCTCTCTGGTCTCTCTCTCTGGTCTCTCTCTGGTCTCTCTCTGGTCTCTCTCTGGCCTCTCTCTGGTCTCTCTCTGGTCTCTCTCTGGTCTCTCTCTGGTCTCTCTCTGGTCTCTCTCTCTGGTCTCTCTCTCTGGTCTCTCTCTCTGGTCTCTCTCTGGTCTCTCTCTGGTCTCTCTCTGGCCTCTCTCTCTGGTCTCTCTCTGGTCTCTCTCTGGTCTCTCTCTGGTCTCTCTCTCTCTCTGGGCTCTCTCTCTGGGCTCTCTCTCTGGTCTCTCTCTCTGGTCTCTCTCTGGTCTCTCTCTCTCTCTGGTCTCTCTCTCTGGTCTCTCTCTCTGGTCTCTCTCTGGTCTCTCTCTCTGGTCTCTCTCTGGTCTCTCTCTCTCTGGTCTCTCTCTGGTCTCTCTCTCTGGTCTCTCTCTGGTCTCTCTCTGGTCTCTCTCTGGTCTAAACAGTGAAAATAGTAATTCTCACCTAAACAACATCTTAACATCAAAAACATCAAATATCAGATTTAGTTTCAAATGAGTTCAGTTCGAATCTCATTTAATATTTCAGTTTTTATTTTGTATAAATTGTATGAAATAAACTTTTAGCACAGGTACAAAAGCACTGAGCCGTGTTATACTTTTACTTTCACTTTCAAAGGCTCATAATCTCACCTTTTCCCGCGTGGCCCGGTTCAAACCTCTGCATTGCTGTATATTTTTATATGCTGTTTTTTGACGACTGAATGGAAGGATCTCACCGTTTCCATGGTTACCACTTTGAATATACGTCATTTTAAAACAAAGTCTCCTCCTCCCTCTCTACGATGCAGATTAAAGGGAAATGTCTGGGAGTTTTTGATATATATTTTTCCTCCATTTTCTGGCTGATAACCAGGAAAGCCTTGTTCTCATGTTGGGTTTGTGCGACAGGATCCTTGGGTTGTGTTCTTCTTCTAGGATTGTGTTTCTTTCTAAAGATCATTATTGACGGTTCTCTGTACGGCTGCGCTGTTACGAATGTGTCCACAAGGTCCGTATTCTCACTTGGCATAAAGTCATTTTTTTAATAATATTGGGTTGTTTTTGTGGTTTGTGCTGATTGACGAGGGGGCGGGGTCTAGCTATGATGTCACAGATCGGAGAGATTCGACCCGGAGCGTTCTGTGAGGGCCAGAGCAGAACATAGAGTGAAAAGTGATGAGAAAATAGTCTAAAAATGCTGAAATTAGGCAAAACATGTGTCTTCATTTGGGATTAGATCGATTTAAGAGTTTTAAGACTTTTTCAAGTGTATCTGTCTGCGGCCTGCAGTACGGAGGCGTGTCGAGTAGTGGGCGTGTCGGGTAGTGACGTCACTACTCGACACGCCCACTCCGCGTGTATGAGCATGGATCTATTATAATACGGGTATGAGTAGTAGTGAGTACTATCTATGCCCAATGAATTTATGCGCAATAATGAATTTTATGGCGCATGTCATTGTCAATATTATTTATTGGGGGAAAATGGACGAATTTTGTAAATATCAAAGTAGTAAATTTGCCTACAAAAGCTGCCATTACTTCAGACTATCAATCAATAGGGATTTGAAGCAGCTCAGGACAAAAGTTAATGAGTCAAATAATGCCAGTGCTTATGTCTAATGTGTACATTCATTTATAAAAGGGGCCTATGGTTGGTGGCTCAAATCCTGGCTGCCCCAAGTGCAGTCTGGTATGTTCTTGAGCAATGCACTTCACCCACATGTGTGGACATAGTGAGAGACTGCTTGGTGGTGGCCAATAGCACAGATTAGTAGCCTGGCATCCTCCAACCCAGCTGTGACACACTGTGTGGAATAAATGAATAAAGACTAGTGTGGCGTTTTGAGAAACTTGTCAACACAGGATTGAAAAGTACATTACAAGTTAAAGATATTATTACACCACCACCACCACCACACACTCCTACACCCATGGTCTCCACATTACTGATCATAAAGAGAACATGCCATAACATTTTTGTGCCCAACTTTGGCCTTTTGGGACAAGCAGACATTCATTACTATTGTGTTTTGTCAAATTTGTATGTAGAAGAGGGAGATTAAACAAAAATAACAAATTGTTTTCTGGCATTTTATGTACATGCTTTTTTATGAATTTGTGTTATCTGAATGGCTCTGAAATGTAGACACTGAATAAGTTCAACACAAAACAAATATTGCAACAAATTCTCTTTTATTATAATGGTGAGAGAAAGGCTTCAGAGGAGAGCGCCAATCTCCATCTCTCTTGGAAAGCTTTCAGCCTCCCTGCTGCCTCCTCTGGTAAATGCCTCACCAGATCATTTGCAATCATTTTAAACTCACTGTCCATAAAGAACAATCACAGATTAGATTGTGCAGTGCACAGTGAAATATGTCCATCAATATTTAAATAATCTTACCATGGTTCATACTTTGGCCCCTTTATGAATTTTTCAATTGCCTCTTGCTGAGGCAGGTGAAATGCCTCGGCCAGAGTGTGAACTGTCACCTAGATAAGAGTAAAATGTGTTACATTCAACAACAACAGTTCACAAAACCAAATGCAGCCCTAAAAGGTGTTGTGTCCTGTTTAATATATTGTCAGTGACTTGCACTTATGACTTTATGGTCTCTGTACATCAACACTGTTGCAATGCAGAGTTTTTAGTACAGTGTACGTCCAGGAAACATGTACCATGACATGTTTATGTTTGAGGGGGGTTCAGTGTTTTATGCACACTTTCATTACAATAGTCCCTGTGCCAGCCTGGTGGCGCTCGGGCCTACTAATGTAAAACAAACATTATATAAATCATGCTATACTTCCGGTAAGAGCGTGTAGACCAATCAGAAAGGAAGGGGGAGGGAGCTTGGGTTGTTTTTTTTTTTCAAATCAAGTACCTCTCTTTCTCTCTTTCTGACAAACTC